CCCCAATCTTGAGGTTATAATCCTCCATTCATTTCTTCCTCAAATTGATATATTTTGAGAGAAAACTAAGTGTTTTCAAGAGAGTGTTCTTGTCATCCATAGAGCTTAATCTTTTCTCATTTCTACTCTTGTGAGAGTTATTGCTGAGAGGTTGAAGAAGATTGTTCTTCTTGTTGTTCAAGGCTTATGTGATTTAAGTCTTGGTTGTGAAGTCTTGTAGAGGGCATATCTACGAGCGGTTGTGTCGAGGCTTGTGGGATTCAAGTTCTCGAGTTGTAAACGGTTTGTTAAGCACCCGTAAGCTTAACGAAAGTAGTGGTAGCTTCGAGAGAGTCTCTCGGGGAACTGGACTAGCCACGAGGTGGTGAACCAGTATACATCGGTGTGTTCTTTGCCTTCTCTATTTTATTTCCGCTGCACTTTCGTTTATCTTATTTGATCCTGCGAAAATCGGTAAACATTCTCAACAACTCTATTCACCCCCCCTCTAGAGTTGCACGCCTTGTCTAACAATTATGATGAGTTTCTAAATCCTGGAAGACTAGACTTAGAATTGCATCTGTAACTTTCCTCTTGTAATCCAAGTTGTATCTTGTGTTGCAATGATATTATCCATAAATCTTCTCCTAGGCTGTATGGCTAGTGCGAGCTACATTTTCTTCATTCTTCAGTCTTTCATTGTTGGTGTGCCACGTCGTGATCTTTCATGTTAATAGCTAATACAAATGAGTCCATTTCAAAGTAAGGAGTAGTGATTCTTGATCGTCAATTTGTTCAAGTTTCCTAACAGAGAATAGTTAGTATCCTGACCGTAAGTCAATCTTAGAGAACACAATGGATCCTCTAAGATGATCAAATAAGAATTGATACAAAGTAAAGGATAAGGATTTGTTTAATTGACGATAGTTCATACAGAGTCTCGTCGATCCTTCTGTATTCGCGTATGAACAAAGTAGGTATTCAAAGAGAAAACACTTGATCAAATGATTCTTTATTAAGGAATCCTTGAGTTTTCAATCTCAACGGAGGTTTATTCAACATGGAATTACATAGATATTAGATAGTGCAAATCCCGGATCAGTACATGGATAATTTTATAAATTATCAAATAAGGAAATATATTAATGACGACACTAGAGTTTTCATCAACACGGTCTTTCATTGCATACACACATGCATGATTTTGTTTGCGGGTTACTTCCTCCTGGTGCAAGTCGGGCTGAGGTAGACTGATTTTGAACAGGGCCATCGGCATTGGTCTTCCAAGGGTTTGTAGGACATTGAAACTTGAATAAGCATTGGAGTGACCTTCAATATCTTGGTGGATGTTTTGATTGTCTTGTTCTTTTCGGACAACAAGAGTGAAATTCGATATTTCAATATGAACCGTTGTGTGTCCATTGTTTTGCACTTGGTTATCTTGTCCGCGCGCAGTTTCTTGACTCATTCTACAAATAGTTGGAATTTCTTTATTAGGATTCCTTATTTGCATAGGTGCGTTGATAACAGATATCACGAGGGTATATAACAGTTGCAACGATTGAAAACAATCAAGAGAGATTGGAAGAAACGATAGGGTTTATTAATTCTGAACGTTTTCGTTTGCGTCAACGATTGGTTCGCGTTGATGCCACATGAGGATCTTTGACACCGGCTTCACAAATGTTGTTCAACATATATCAACACGAATCGTTCTTCAGGTTCCTCTCACTTCCGTGCGACTTTTCCGGTACAGATCAACTTCGTCATTCACGATGCGATGCGTACGTTGATAACGTATCAGAGGTTTATACATTTTTTTTATTCTTTCGTTTCTTCACTGAATACGAAAATTCGACTTGAGTCTATGCTCGATATAATTTCAGTACTAACAATTGTTATCAAATGAGACTTTAACACAGTCAATATTTACCAAGTAAATTCTTATACCTTTCCTGGAGCAGAGGGATGCGAGAGTCGTGGATGTGATTGACATTTTATTTTATTTTTTTTTAAAAATCAAATTTCGATCCGAAGATCAGGTTGAAAACCATTTGCTCCGATACCAAATTATAACACCCTAATCCGTCCAGGTCTGCAGCCCCATTCGGACTAAAGTATTTAACATGCTAATCGTAAAATTTAAAACTTTTCAAACACACTTTATTAATCCCAATAATATTTTTCATAACATATACAGTACGAAATATTTAACAATATTGCGGAAGCGAATTTTGTTAGAATAAGTGACCAACGCTAGAGGGGGGGG